AGAGCGAAATATGATGTCATCGCATTAGAGTTTACATTGCCCCTCCCCCTCCCCTCGATTTCCTGATCCGGTTTGAACCGTGGACTTGGTACATTCCACGATCAAAGGGTGGGATTTATCACGACTATAGCAGAGGACTTCGGATAGAGTGTATCTAACTAGGACCCCCAGACAGCAAGATCAAGTTTTAAAACGAGGTTAGTCCATCGCTATGATACAATGATTTGCATTAATATTACATCAATCAAGTCTGATGGTTAAAAAACTCATCTAATGAGTCACACTCAGATAATGACGCTGTTTGTCATTTATAAAAGTGAAAATTCTGGTGACAGTAGATATTTTCGTGTCAATATTCAGTGGGAACCAGGGACAGCCTTATGGCAAAATGCATAAAAGTGGGTATCTGATTACCTGAGCTGTTTAGCTTCTTGCTGGCTCTCTTCATTAGTCAAGCGTAGCTCTTCAGCTCGACCAGCCAATTCGATTGTCTTTGCCGTCAACTCAGACATTCGAATGGATAGTGTTGATTTCATTTCTTCTGCTTGTACCAGCGCCGACTCACGACTGGCAAGCAGACCAGTTAAATGGGTCACTGCATTTAGAACAGGAGAGAAATAGTAAGTAGCTCATATGAAGGATATAAAGACTTGCAATACTATCAAATGTTAGGACTATTTGATGAAAGGAAAATGCAAACACGAGGGAACTATTGTTGCAGAAGAGTAAAGTAAATATTGAAGAAGTATTACCTATAAATCCCTCTGGATGATCAATCAATCGCTCCAACTGGATATCTAAGAGAAGACTATTCAAAAAGTAATCGCATGCAGAAATTCTGCTTCCAATTCTGTCTTCACAGACACAAATTGAATATCGTAATAATGAGAAATTTGATCAGCAGAAGCTTAAGACTAATAGACAATGAGTTCTGTGACAAGGACTTGGACAAAGTGACTCAGATTTTATTTAGTAACAAGTAACACAGAGAAACCATAGAAAGATATAATGGACAAAAGGAGCCCGCTCAACTTAGATGTTATGAAAATAAAATCAGGAATCGGGAGAACGATCAAAAGGGAATATGCCTGCTCTAGTGTAAATTGAGTAAAAAAAATGCGACCACTACTAAGGTGTGATATCAAGGTAATGCCGACGTAATGCAAAAAGGTTACAAATTGAAATGCTCGGGGGTTAATCACATAAAATATGGCAACTGTGAGCAGATGTATACAGGAAAAACAGGAAGAAAAATCCGCATACAAATCAAGAAACATCAGACTGCAAAAAGATAAATACAGAAAGATTCGAAATAGCGGCACATATAGCACGAATGGGACACTAAATCGAATGGAAATCGACAAGGGCTTTCCGCTTATGGTCAAATTTAAAAAAAAAGCAAGATACAAGGTACCATAAATATAATAACTGAAAAAAATCTAACGAACAGGAGATGAGAAGGTAGGGGTAGCGAAAACTTTGCTTATTACTTAAGCAAACTCGGCGGAGATCAGGAGGGGTCAGCAAAAAGAAGACGACTAGATCAAGGAAAATAGAGAAAATGAGGAAAAATCGTGAGACAACCGACGAAGAATCGAAAAGCAAAAAGAGACGTCTGAAGCAAGCCTAATGAAAACAAGCAAAGCCAAAACATTTAGGGGTTTGCACACAAAAGATGGAATATATAAAAGTCAGATATTTGGCATTATGGATAGAAGCACAAGAGATGTTGTAAAGACAAGAAATAGTTGGCTAAAAGTATACGTATTTGAAGATAGACGTGATCAGTGAAGTAAAGACTTGCTCACGAGAATTACCCAGTGCATATATCGAACAGTGATAAGGGAATTAACAGTTTCAAGTTACTTTCTGATCGAATCTGAGAAACCAGAATATATGGGCCTGTTAAGTGTAAGTGGAGTACACGTGCTATCCAGGTCTTGAGGCAGAGTGTAAATCATAACGCCTCGAGTAGCATTGATATGGTGGTAGAAATCGAGGGAAATTATTGAACCAGGGAGATAAAAGACGGATCTTGATAGGCCTATAAAAATCAGGATTCTCAAGCTGGATGAGAGACTAGCTTGAGGATAAATAGCCCGAGTAATTATCATGATCAAGCCTTTGCTTCATGGACCACGTCTATGATCAAACACGTTTACAGTTAGCCAACTAACTCTAGTCTTCGCCACATCTATCGTGTTTATAGCCATAGTGCCAAGTCCATGAGCTCAATTGCCCTAGTCTCTTTGGTGCCATCCCACAAATGTTCTAGTTATATAAATGAAATTAATTACAAGTGGAACCAAAACATTTGTGGGTTGGCACACAAGATACTAGGGCATAGAAAGACATAGATTTGGTAATACGAATAAAAACACGATAAATGTGGCGGGGACTAGAGTTAATTGGCTAACACTAGACGTGTTTGATCATAGACGTAGTCTATTAAACAAGGGCTTGACCATGAGAATTACTTGGACTATTTACCCTCAAGCTAATCCCCCATCCAGCTTGAGAATCCCGATTTTTAGGGGCCTACTCAGCGAAGCGGAAGTATGCGTACTATAAGACTTAAGACAATGTGAGAGATAGTGCGTGGAATAGTACAGATAGAGATACAACAATTGTTTAGAAAACAATCGTTCATAAGCTCGGCTTGACTTATCTCTTTGACGAGGTGTTGTATGATGCCAGGAGCGGCAAGGCCCCCTGACAATGCCTTAGAAACATCTGGCCATGTCCACTGATCGACTCTAAAAATTATCATGCATATTATGAACTCCGGACTAGGTGTATTCCTCTAGGTCTTCCTATCAATATAAACGAGTTGCGAAAACAAGGCCAAACAACTTCCATACAACGAAAGGAAACTTTTACCATACAAAAGGTCAGACCATCTTGGTCCTCATATCTTCGAATAATAATATTAGATTAAAGAAAAATCTAGAAACAGATTTTATTACATGTGCAGAATATTATAGCACTATTTGGTGTTATTATTTTGTATCCCTATCTATCAGAATGAACGCAATCTGATTACAGTAAAAAAAAATAAAGAAGACTAAATAAATACTAAAATAAGGTATACTAAAAAAATGAGTAAAACTCAACAAGGTTACCTTGATTGGCAAGACTTTCTTCTAGTTTTTGGACTCTCAGAAGCTCTGACCTGACAGTCTGTTTCTCAAGTTGAAGGGCGTCGGACAAGTAGAGCTCATACTAGATTCGGGAATCAAAGGCATAATACGATTGGGTCATGAGACATTCAAGTCAAGAAAAAGAAATGGTGCAAATCTAAACGTAGTCTTTGTGTTAATAAAGATAATAATAGCAATGGAAATAAGCAATAAATTGTAAAAACGAAAACATAAGTAGAGCTTGCATAAAAATGATAGTACACGTTTATTACTAATGGAAGATGATATAAGAAGAATTAATTGTCATACAACTTCGCTTATCATAAATACTGAATTGGTTTTATTATATCTCTTCCAATGCATGTAAGACGCTAATCCCTTATCATAATGATTAAGTTACGTGGACAAGGAAACATTTAAATTAATCCGATATATCACAAGTTTGTATTTGTCAAAACACTGTTCAATATGGAAGGCTAAATGAATAATGAAAATGAGATTTGTAAAGATACTTTAAACCATAACAGTCATTCCAAAAAGTTTCTCTACAAATGTGGCCAACCAATTGGGAAAAAGGAAGACCCTGTTGGTTATAAGAAACTCGTTTTCTCTTGATCAGCATCAACAGAAAATAGGGTCGTGATCAGGTTAATAGCCTTTTTGCCAGAATATATATCAGCAAGACTTGTGCTTCCAAAGCGTACAGTTATATTTACAACTAATTATAGCTTGTAAAAGCGTTCTTATGTCATTAAGCGAGAAAAAAATACAAACAATAAAAACAATTACAAGGCATTTATAAAGAAAGGGTATGGTAAATCAAATATATCAGAAACAAGTAACCAGAAACGAGGAAACCAGACATAGAATAATTGATACTTTTTTTATAATAAAAAATGTATATGCAAGTTATTTCAACCTGAGTTTGTTTATCTCTGAAGATAGCCAACTGATTTTTCAGATCAGCTATGTATCCAAGATCCTGTTTCTCAACTTCTTCCCTTCTTTTGTTTGGCTCGGATGCTAAAATTCTTCCCTTTTGGATAAGCCGATCCTCGGAATCGTTATTCCACAGTCTCGATTTCCTAGTATTGTAAGAACTTAGAGTCGTCTGCAAACCATTCCAGGCTAAAGCCTGATCCGTGGAAACGACTGTTGTGAGTCGTGAGAGTAGGCGTCTCAAATTGCGAGTTGTTGCGGGAACGTTCGTTGCAGTGACAACAAATGGTAAGGATAGTCGATCTCGCAATGAGGTTACTTTATCATTAGTCGAGTCGATAGCTTCTTGCTTTGTTTCTTCGTCTTTTCCAGCCTGATCTATGATGGGCTTGTTTGAAGAAGTATCTGGTGGTTTATTAGCATCAGAAACAGACTCTAAAAGACAGCTATTATCGTTG